GACAGACGCAGGTTAAGATCCTCCCTGGTAAGCCAGCTCGTGGGCTATACAGAATATTAGAAATGGGTTAGAACAATATGAAAGAGCTAGCCAATAAGAAACTGGAACTAGCCGGGCCAGGCAGTGTTTGAAAGAATACAGTTTCCGTGTAATTATTTCTTGGCATAAGCTAGCCATGCGGGCAGCCGGGTGCCGGGGATGCAACAGACCATAATACATAAGTAATCAAGTAAATAAATATAAAAATAATATAACGGTGTTATAATCGCTAGTAATTGTGAGGCTATCTATTCTCATTTCACCAGTTTTTGATTTATATAATTTGAGGCAGAAAAAACATTTGAGTTATGTGTTCTTAATGAATTTATCCCCTTTTCTTATGAAAGAACTTAGTCTTTGAGCTCTGCATTGCTATTACAATGACCACCATTGTCTGTCATTGTACTGATGATAGCCTCGTGTGTTTCTTCATCCTTTTATATTTAATCTCTCTGTACCTTCATATTTAATGTGTTTCTTGTAGGTGGGTTTGGTTTTTATATCTCATCAAATAATCTCTTATGGTGTAGATTGTTTGCATTTAAGTGGCCTAGATAATTCGTATATAAGTCTTATCTTATATATTATCATTATCTTCCATTTGTTCCATTTTTTCCCCATCTTCCTGACTTTTTCTTGTCTTTTGGATCAACTGGTGTGTATATTTGTGTGAATTTTGTGTGTGTTTGCACACACAGGCATGTAGAGGCTCGAGATTAATGTTGGCCATCTTCCTATCACTCTCTGCCTTGTTTTTTGAAATAAGATCTTGGCGCTGAACCCGATTGGCCAGAGAGCTTTGAGAACTACCCCTCCTCCCATCCCTGAAGTTGCAGACACACTGCTGTGTTTGCCTTTTACTACATGGATGCTGGGGATCTAAATTTAGGTCCTCATGCTTAAACAGCAAAATACTGTTACCCACTGAGCCATTGTTATAGCCCCAAACAATTGTGTGTGTGTATGTTCATTTTATTTCAGTTTTTAACATTTTAACTAAAATTCTGTCTTGAATGATTGGTTACTTTAGCTCTTCCAGTACACTATCTTTAATACACCTCCCAGCACTGTGTCACTTCTTATGTAGTATAAAGCCTCAAGAGTGTGCTGGTCTCTCCAATTCCAAATTTTGTTTTATTGCACTCGTGTAATATTGTTGCAGTTATTGTTTAAGCTAATTTTTTTTTTTGTTTTTTTGAGACAGGGTTTCTCTGTGGTTTTGGAGCCTGTCCTGGCATTAGCTCTTGTAGACCAGGCTTGCCTCGAACTCACAGAGATCCGCCTGTCTCTACCTCCCGAGTGCTGGGATTAAAGGCATGCGCCACCACCGCCCGGCTTAAGCTAATTTTTTAAGAAGAACAAGACAGTAAGAAAAACAATACTTTCCCCTTGCAGTTAGTTACTCTTTTCAGGGTTCCTCATTCCTTGTGTAGATACATATTATTATCTGGCATTATTTTTTCTTCTACTGGAATTGTTTCCTTTTACCTTTTGGATAGACTCATGATCAATTTTCTTTTTTGTCTTAAATTTGTTTTAGAAAGATAGTTTTGTTCTAGACCACCGAGAACCTATTATTTGGTGTTGCATTTTTCTTTAAAGTGTATAGGCAACTTGTTGTAGTTAGGGTTTCTTTTGCTGTAGTAGACACCATGACCACAGCAACTCTTACTAAGAAAAGCATTTAATTGTGGTGCTTACAGTTTCAGAGGTTTAGTCCATTATCATCATGGCCAGAAGCATGGTGGTATGCAGGCAGTCATGGTAATGGAGGAGGAGCTGCGAGTTCTGTATCTTGATCCACAGACAACAGGTAGTGAACTGTATTGTGGGCATGGCTTGAGCATATATGAGACCTCAGAGCCCACTCCCACAGTGGCATCTTCCCTCCAATAAGGCCTCACCTACTCCAACAAAACTGTCTCCTAGTAGTGCCTTTCCTTTGGGGTTCATTTTCCAAACCACCGAAGCAATTTATTATGCATATCTGTGACTTTGTAATTTTCATCAAATTTGGGAGAAATCCGGATGTTGTTTATTCCACAATTTCTCTATTCACTTTTCTTCATTTGGGGATTCCATCCGGGAGGTCATATTGAATTTGACCCACACCATACACGAGCTCTGCTTATCTTGCTTTTTACACTCTTCTGTGTAGCTGGTTGAACAGGGTAATAACTGCAGTCTTGCTACTGCTAGAGGCAGGTACTTGGAATCAGCTACTTTCTTTCTCACCTGTCTCAGGTGACACAGAGCACATTCTTTTAAATGCAGCCCAGAGCAGAGCTGTCACTGTGAGCTTGCTTGTCCTCGTTGTTTATCTGCATATAATGCTTTGTCTTCAGAGTGTTTTAGTGATTTAATATTATTTAATCAAATAGAGGAGAACATAATTTGTCTTCTGTAACACCCGATTTCTGAAGGCTGATTCAAGGTGCATGCTATTTGACATATAAAAAATGTGATGACACCTTTTGCATTTACTTAAAATCTAAGGAGTTTAGAAATTAAGGCAGTATTTCAGTAGAATATTTAGCAGTGTCTAATTTTTTAAGCTAAAAATGATGTCTTGTAAAAAGACCGTTTTAATTAATTAGTCTGCTTGGCCCTTATTCAACTGAATATTTAGCCTGTATTTGCTTAGCCTTAGTTGTGATTGGACAGTCTATGAAGTTACTAGATGTAGTACAAAATGATTAAAACTTAGCAGTGAGAATAATAGAGGTTTTGGGGGCTTCACCACCCCCATATGTGATCCTTCTATTAATATAGACTCCTTTTTTTCTACTTCAGAAGTCAGCCAGGAATTCTGAAATTCCTGTTCCAGTAGCAGAATTTCTTGGTTCTATTTGAAGAAAACGGTTATGTTCTAAGAATATAACTGTTCCCCTTTTTTTTCTAGAAGGAACATGAGAATGGAAAGTTTTTTTCTTCTTAATTGTGAGAAACATGGTTGCAAATGCTAACAGACTGATTTTATATCCCTAGGAGTAACTAAGTCTGCCTTATCTTCTCTGCCGGCAATCTCTGTTATAGCAGGGTGCTGACTGATTTCCTTAGTGAAACAAACCACACACACACACACACACACACACACACAAACCCTAGAGGAGCAGTATAGTTAATAAACTAACAAAAGGTGACCTTGAGTCACTAAAGGATTTAAATCTGCCTTTGGAATTAATTGTGAGATTACACTTTAACCAGTGTGGTTTTGGTAAAAAGAAAACATTGTGATGTAGAGGGAACATTAACATGAATCAAGACTCAGCTTACAGTATTACTCCCACCTTGGCTAGTGTTGTATGACTAAGCAAACTTGGAAGTTTGAACTTTGCTGTCCTCATCTGTTGTAACTAAACAACTAACAACTTGCTTAAGAGGTGCATTATGACCAGTGCTTTGCTACCCTTTCTGTTGGTTTATTCCTAATACCAACTGTAGAAAGTGGATAGAATCTTAGAACCTATAGGGGCCTGTTTCCAGAATATTATATAACTCAAAATAATATGTAACTATTAGAGGAAAGTTTGGGTCTAACTCTTTTATTACTGTAAAATCAAGAGTTCCTTCTACTTCTAAAATGTTATACTATTTCTTAAACTGTGACTGTCATATAAACATTTCCAAATGCTATATTTCTAAATGATCTTGAGTCTGACTGTGATTGCTACCATTGCCTTTGCTATACCTGCATTGTATTTTTATTGTTAATTTTTATTTTTTGTTTGCATTTAATTATTAAAATTTTACATATTTTTAGGAATTAGTGACTAACTCTAATCTAAAGTTTTAAAATTACATTTATCTACTTATTTATGTAGTATTTTTGTGGGGCTCACATGCGAAGGTGAGAGAACAGCTTGTGGGGCATGATTCTCTCCTTCCACCTTGTAGGTTCCTGAGTTCAAACTCAGTTGTCAGGCTTGGCAGCAAGTGAGTGCCCTTAGTCAGTAAACCAAACCGTCTTGTCAGCCCCCTAACTTTAGCAGTGCCTTCTTATTTTGAGATTCTAAAGCATGTGCCCGTCACTCATTTAGTAGTTATAAAATATTTGTGATGTACTATTTTACATTTGGAAGTTGGATAACATGGCTTGTTTACATTTCTCAATGTATTATTTACTACACAGGTAAGGTCTAAAGAGCTTCATTTTATGGCATTTAAACAGTAAGAACAGATGTTAATACTGGATCTTAGCTAAATTGTCATTTAACACGTTATTATGCCTGTAGTGTATATATTTAATGACACTGAGTGAATTCTCTTACTAGACTATTTTAGCTAAATGATGATGATCTCAGTTACTTCTCAGTAAAATTTAGTCTATGTAACATGTAAACATTTTTAAATCTCTGACTTTCTACAGTCAGAAAGTAAAGTACTTTTTAAAAATTAAAATTTTAATAAATTTGAAGTTCTAAAAAAATGAGTTCATCTTGTTTGCTTGGAGACTTGCTTGATAAGAACAGTTATTTTGCCCAAACCTGATTTTTTTTTATTAGTGTTTTAGAATGTGGTGCTCTCCTTCTAAGATTCCCTTACAAAGAAATTTAAATACCTGAATATTTCATGTTATTAAGCCTACTTTTAGAAGTCAGTTCATGCCATACATAGTAGGTTAGGTAGCAAATTCTTATGATACCAGTACTGGGTGGTAGGAGAGGCTGGATCTCTATAGCAGGATTCTGTCTGTACAAAACAAGTCAGTTAACCTTTTTTGGGTTTTAAATGTTCTTATCTATAAAACTTTGAATTTGATTACGGTTTTTATAAACACATTACTCCAGAATTTGTCAAACCTAAGGTTCACATTAGTAAATCAGATTTCAGAATCAAAAAACAACATTTGATTTTTGTACTTAAAATGTCAGTCATATGTTTATCATGTTTTTATTGAAAGGGCTTTCTGCTCTTTTTTCTTTTGGCTTTTATGTTAATTTTCTTTTCTAACCTATCAGCACTGCCTCACGTGTTGCTAAGGGAGGAGTCGACCACACTAAAATGAGCCTGCATGGTGCTAGTGGAGGACACGAGCGGTCGAGAGATAGACGAAGGTCAAATGACAGATCACGAGATTCATCTCATGAGCGAGCCGAGTCTCAGCTTACTCCTTGTATTCGAAATGTGACTTCACCAACACGACAGCACCATGTTGGTACGTAAGATCATCTTACCCCACCAGTTCTCGTCATCTGCCTTTTTACAGTTGGGTTGATTTTCAGTTGTGCATAACGCTTGAGCAAGGTTCACTTCTTTGCTATAATTCAGTTATTTATATTTTAGCTGATTTTTTATTCTTATTGAAAAGATAGTTTATTAAATCAAACATAAAGGTGACTTTTCAGTTTGGGAGCAATCTTACAAAAGTAACATGAAAAGCCTTTGAAGCTGTGATACAAACTTTTAAAAGAAAATTTTAAGTTAATATATATCTCATTAGATAAAAATGTATACACAAAGCAGTGGCTTATTATAAAATAGTAGTAAGGTCCCTTTAATCCCAGCATTTGGGAGGCAGAGGCAGGCAGATCTCTCTGAGTTTAAGGCCAGCCTGGTCTACAAGGGAGTTCCAAGACAGGCTCCAGAGCTACAGAGAAACCCTGTCTCAAAACAAAATAGTAGGAAGGTAAATTATTGCTAGGGTTTGCTGGCTACTCATGCCAACAAATAAAGTAAAAGAATAACCATTGTGGGGTTTTGACTTTATTTTGATTTTTGACAAACTTCCAAATTTAATAATAAAAATAGAAGAAAGAGAAGTGTGTTTACTTTCTTAATAACTTGGGGTTATTTTCCTTCCTTCTTACTCGTATGAACATTATTATTAGCTCAGGACAACACACTGTATGACTACAAAGTACCATTCTGAAGTAACATGCCTAAGCAGTATAAAATTGTTGATTTTAAAAATTTCCCCCTAGGGAAGGTATAAATAACAAACTTTGATTTAGGGCTGGGGCATAGTTTCTGTGATCATTGTTGCTTAGCATACACTTGTTTCTGGTCTCAATCTCCATCAGCTGTGTATGTGAGGGCATATTTAGGCTGGGGATATGTATGTATGTATATGCATATATATATTACAATGTATATGTGTGTGTGTATAGCTTGATGGTAGAGTTCTAGTTTAGTGTGTGCAAGGCCCTTTTAATCCCCAGCAAGCCCCTCTCCCAACTACTAAATTTGGTAGTTTCTGATAATCTGTTGTAAATCAGAATCATTTAAGTGAGGCTTTATTAGGTAGAGAAGTTGACAGTATTTAAGTAGGTCCTTGAAGACAGGCTAATATTATAAGCCAGATACAATCAGAAGTATTGGTCTCTTCCGTTCAGTGTCTGAGAAAGAACAACAGAATATAATTATTTTATCACCTGGGTAAATTTTGCTTTGGGGATGCAGGAATTAAAGGAGGGGGTGTCAGAATAGCTCTGGAGCTATAGCAAAGCTAATTATATAATCAGCATGCTGTACAGAGTGTTCTAAGTAGCCTGAGTCATGAAGGAATTTGCCAAAAACTGATGAGACAGAGGTACATTTTTAGGTCACCTTTAAAATGTAGTGATCTAGCCTTTAAATAAAACTTACCATAAAATCTTGGTTTTTATTTCCCTTTTATAGGATATTGGAACATTTAACAATATTTTCTGCCTATGAAAATTGACAGTAATTATAAGTCTAAAAAGTTTGTATTATTGCTTCATTCTGCAAAAGTTTGGCTGGGGAGAAAATGTATCAGCTGAGGAGAGTGGTATAGACCTGTAACTGTAGAACTAGGGGAGGAGCAAGGTCATCCTCAGCTACTCTGTGAATTTGACGCTAGCCTGGTCTATATGAGATCCTGTCTAAAACAAGCAGAAAGAAAGTAGTATACCATTAGTTGCTAAACTCACTTTATTTGGTAATCATTAAAGGTTTTCGTTGCTGTTTGTTTGTTTACTTCTTATTCCCCCTGCTGAATTTTTTCTTTTTCAGATCTTCTTTTTATGAGAAAAATTGCTGACTTCAGCGTGATATTATCAATAAAATGTGTTTCTGGAGTTTATATTTCACATTCTGAAAAATGTTAACTGTTTTTAGTAATTATGGCTGTTTCTAAATTGTTCTCAGGCTATATATGGGGCATTTGTAATCTTAATACTTTGAAAGATGAGGCAAGAAGATCATGAGTTTGAGACCAGCCTGGGCTATGTATCAATATAGCAATACTCTGTCTCAACAACAAAAACCAAAAGAAAACAAGAACAGCAACTCTCAAATTCTTATTAATCTTTCATTTTTATTCTTTTTGTTTTGTTTTGTTTTCCGAGACAGGGTTTCTCTGTAGCTTTAGAGCCTGTCTTCTTGGAACTAGCTCTTGTAGACCAACCAGGCTGGCCTAGACCTTACAGAGATCCGCCTGCCTCTGCCTTCTGAGTGCTGGGATTAAAGGCATGCGCCACCACCGCCCAACCATTTTTATTCTTACAAATAATTTTAATTCTTGTAAATCTTGTTAGTTTTTCATGTGTATTTATTTGAATTGTAAGAATATTTTAATTTTCACATATTTTTAGTGGGATAATAATAAAAGATTTACCTTAACTGGTATTTGGCTGGATCAACATCAGTTAGCTAAAATATCTTAAAAAACAATTTTGTGCTGGTGGTGGCAGTGGTGGCGCACACCTTTAATCCCAGCACTCGGGAGGCAGAGGCAGGCGGATCTCTGTGAGTTCGAGGCCAGCCTGGTCTACAAGAGCTAGTTCCAGGACAGGAACCAAAAGCTACAGAGAAACCCTATCTCGAAAAATCAAAAAAAAAAAAAATTGTAATTAATTAGTTATTCTTGGTTTTGTTTAAAATGTATTTGAAATAGAAAAACAGAAATGCAGCAATTTAAGAGAACTTGTCTATATCAGACATTTTAGAAGATACAGTTCTTGAATCTTTTTAAAGAAAATTTGTATGACCTTAACATTTTTGTTTCAGAACGAGAAAAAGATCATAGTTCATCTCGTCCAAGCAGTCCTCGTCCTCAAAGAGCGTCCCCGAATGGCTCCATGAGCAGTGCTGGGAGCAGCAGCAGAAACAGCAGTCAGTCGAGCTCAGATGGTAGCTGTAAGACTACCGGGGAGATGGTGTTTGTGTATGAGAACGCAAAAGAAGGCGCGCGGAGCGTGAGGACATCTGAGCGAGTGACACTGATAGTGGACAACACCAGATTTGTCGTGGACCCGGCCATTTTCACTGCGCAGCCAAACACGATGCTGGGCAGGTTTGTTTCATTGCTGTGCATTCTATCACTGATTCTAAAGCACTTCTCATAGAATCCTTTTGTGGTTATTATAAAGTTTTTCAGTAAACTTTCTGCTGTATAGAAGGATAGAGCATTTCTATTTTATAGATGAAAGAGCTGTATTCTGGAAGTTAAATTATTTGTCTAAGTTATTTCAAATAGAATGTAGGTAGAGCAAAGCTTGAACTTGGTTTTATTCCTAATGATCTTTTGTAGTACCAGTACCAGTAGCAAATATACTTGTTATTAAAGTGAGAACACTAAAGGATCTCTACAAATTGATCTGATAGAGTCTAACTAGATGAATTTTGGTTAGATTAGCATTGATATGTTTCCAAAATAAGTTCCTAAAACCTGTTACTAGATATAGAAAGATACCCATCAGCTTTGCTTAAAGGAAAACAGTTTGATTAGCTGTGAAGTAAATTTGAATTGTCAGTTTGTTGTAGATACTTAAGACAGGGTGGATGTATGTCTTTGAAAATAGATAGGGTGTAATTGAGTAGAGGTACAAGTCTCCAGTGTGGGAACTACCATGTCAGGAGTTTAGACTGTGGAATCGATTTTTCTACATGCCTAAAATAAGGGTCAGATACTTCAGTGTAAGAGCACTATTTTTGTCTATAACTAAAATGGAGGACATAAATGAAATAGACATTTACATGAGGCAGAAACTTGAAGCTTTTCTTTTTTTTGTGATAGCTGTAGGGGTTCTAGAGAGGAGAGATATAGAAGGAAAGAGAGTACAGAATAAACGCAGGTCTTGAGATATTGCATACAGTTTGAGTAACTAAATTTCTCTAAATGACCTTGGACTTGAATGTGCATTTTCACGAATCTGTAGCTTTAGTATCATCAGTAGATGATAGCGAAGCTGTTGGGATAATGTCTTGACATTGTTCTACTTTATATTTTACATAAAATTGAAACAATAAAGTAAGTATTTGATCTGCTTTAGCTGTTTTAAAGATTTTTGGGGGGGGTGTTCACATTAATCTGAAAAGAATAGCATTCCTTTTTGTAAGAAGTTCAAGCATTTGAGGGGAAATTGCATGACATTTGATTCTTGAGAATTTTCAGTCAGTGGAAGTTTCTGTTCAGGCGGTTGACTAAAGCATATCTTTGGGGATGAAAATTAATATTCATAGGAACTGGAAAACACTTGGCATTCTTTTTGGAAATGTTAAAATAAAACATCTTTGTTTTTCATGGATTTCTGTATTAAGACAAAAGAATAAACCATTTAAATTAAACCTCTGGGTAAAATACTTGAAATAATACTGTTTACTCTAGAAATAGTGGTATCGTTAATTTCAGAGGCTCAACTATTTTTAATTAATGATTTAAATGTTTTTCTTTCTCAGTACTGTTTGAAGTGTTTCATTGCAAAATAATGTTTTAAAAGCAACTAGTCTTTTTCTCAGTAGTTGCTAGGAAAGATCCAACAATAGTATTTTGGAAAACAAAATTCTAGTTTTTTACTTATGTTAAAATAAAGGCTAAGAGCTTTTTACTCATTTAATTATACTTTTCTGGGTTTTCTTTTCCCCTTTCGCTTTTTTGAGACAGGGTTTCTCTGTGTAACCCTAGCTGACCTGGAAAACTCAATGGAGACCAGGCTAGCCTTGAACTCAGAGATTCACCTGTTTGCCTCTCAAGTGCTAGGACTAAAGGCATGTGCCATCATGCCCAGCCAATTAATTGAACTTTTTATTCTTCATCTTTTGTTCTCGGTTGGTCGGTTTGTTTGTTTGTTTTGAGATAGGGTCTTACTTTGTAGCTCTAGCTGATCTGGAACTCACTGTATAGAGAGGGTTGGCCTTTGAATTCAGAGAGATCAGAGTGCTCGGATTAAAGGCATGTGCCAGCTTGCCCGGCTCATTCTTTGTTCTTACCTTGGCACTTAATTGCTTATTTTTAAATTCTAGGCTGCAAGTCTAAGAATTTTGAGTAGAACTCCTTACATTTGGAATTTGAGAAATAGCCCAAACTTCCATCTATCATCCTATTTCTTTCCGGTTTAACTTGCTGTATGTTCTGTTAATATCTACAACTTTATGATAAGCAGTATTTTCATCATAAATCCCCCAGAATAGAAATCATCCTTTCTCAGCCTGGTGGTGGTGGTGCACACCTTTAATCCCAGGCAGAGGCAGGTGGATCTCTGAGTTCGAGGCCAGCATGAGCTACAAGAGCTAGTTCTAGGACAGGTTCCAAAGCTACAGAGAAAGCCTGTCTCAAAAAACCCAAAAAGAGAAAGAAACCGTCCTTTTTCTAGAATGATTGTTTTTCTTATTTTTATTACTATCTGGCGGGGGTGGAGGATGGGGCAATGATCAGGTTCTTGCTGTAGAGTTTCAGGGTGGCCTAGAATTCCGTGTGTAGCGACAGTGTTCCTGCCTCAGCCTTCTAATGAGGTTGCAAGTGTGAGCTGCTGTACCTACATAAGAGGATAGTATTTTGTGTGTGTGCTGAAGATAGAACCCAAGTCCTTATGCATGTAAGGCAGGTGCCCTACCACTTGGCGACATCTTTAGCTGTTGATTTTATCATTGTTAAAGGTAATACTACTATTCCTATAAGAGACCTTTTATGCTCTTTTTATAACATTTGCCAAAGTAAATTTCTTATTATTAAGATAATTATATAACATGTTTAAATATTTTATTTTTATATATGTGATACTGATTTTCCCTTTTTAAGTATCCTACTAATGTGCATCTTAATTACTTAATATTATAGGATGTTTGGGTCCGGCCGAGAACATAATTTCACACGTCCCAATGAAAAGGGAGAGTATGAGGTGGCAGAAGGAATTGGTTCTACTGTGTTTCGAGCTATTTTGGTGAGTGTGTATTTCCTGTATGTGTGAATAACTTGGGCATAAGATCCATCCTCAGTAAGTATTTAGATCTCTTCTTGCAGATAGATAGGTTATTATTTTCCTTTACATGTACTTTAATTCATATTTGTGTTAGTACATAAGGATAAAATAATGTAGGCAAGTGAATTTATGGCCTTGGGAAGATAAGATATGAGTCTGAGCCCTTTGTGCAGTCCTTTTCAGGTGTCAAGTTATAGTGTTTCTGAAGTTGTATTATTTCTCTTAATTCTCTTACTTTAGTAAGTCAGTTATGATTTCTTGAATCATAATTTATTGTCCCAAACTAGCACTATGGAAATTTACAAACATCTAAACATCATCTTACTGATTCTTTCTTTGTTCTTGTTACAGTTGCTTGTTTTTGTTGTTTTTATGCTCTGTCTTTCTTTTCTTTCTTTCTTTCTTTCTTTCTTTCTTTCTTTCTTTCTTTCTTTCTTTCTTTCTTTTGTTTTTGTCTTTTGTTTGTTTTTTTAAGAACAGGGTTTCTCTGTATAGCCTTGGCTGTCCTGGAACTTGCTCTGCTCTGTAGACCAGGATGGCCTTGAACTCAAGATACCGCCTGCCTCTGCGGGATTAAAGGCATGTGCCACCTGGCCTGTTTTTCTTTTTTTGAAGTATTTTTGTTTTAAGGGATTTTTATACAAATATTACAGAGGCCATATTTCCCACCTAACTTTATTCCATAATTTAAAATATTAGGGCACTACTACTATCTTTGAAAATGCTACCAACCTAGCCTTGATAATGAGCTTGGACTAACTTGTGCTCTGATACAGTTTTCCTAATGTTTTTCTCTCCAGGATTACTATAAGACAGGAATCATCCGCTGTCCTGATGGTATATCTATTCCTGAGCTGAGAGAAGCATGCGATTACCTATGTATCTCTTTTGAATACAGTACAATTAAATGTAGAGATCTCAGTAAGTGTGAAGTTTGTGTTTAACAGTGTCGTGAAGCCTGCATGTCTTGCTTAAGTAGGCTTCAAATGTTTGTTTAGTTCAATTATAACGTGTCCTGGTATTATAAAAATTATTTATTGAACTCTACAGAGATCTAGATAGCTCTTTTATTTTCTAGTATTTTTTCTTTTTTTATATTTATTTATTCATTATATATACAATATTTTGTCTGTGTGTATGCCTGATGGCCAGAAGAGGGCACCAGACCCCATTACAGATGGTTGTGAGCCACCATGTGGTTGCTGGTATTTGAACTCAGGACCTTTGGAAGAGCAGGCAATGCTCTTAACCACTGAGCCATCTCTCCAGCCCTTTCTAATATTTTTTCAACTGTAATAATTTTTTAATGAACTCAGATTTTCTCTTTGACTATTTCCTCTATCATTTGTTATTAATATTTTCTAACTTAGTAACCTTGACTTTTCCTAAAGTGTGACTTTACAGAGATGGCAGATATATCATCTAAAAATTTGTCTTTTTAAATTTTTTTTATCTCTATGTAAGATAGTATCTTGAGCACTATGGGAGAGTAAAATAATTCTAACAAGGTATACTTGGCATTAGAAACCAAAGATTGCATTCCTACAGCACATACACACATAGTTGGAATTTTTAGTTCTCCTGTCCTTCAGACATAGTTTGCTGATAACCACTGTGCGCACACGTGTGTGGGGGGGGTGTGGTGTGTTTATGTTCAAATTCAATATGTCAATATGTATGTGAGGATGGCCTTAAACTCCTGGTTCTCCTGCCTTCATCCATCAAGTGATGACATTACTCTATCTGCAATCATTCCTTATTCATTATCATCACTATTAAAGACCTATTAAAGATTTGTTATGGAATTCAAAATAAGAATCTTTATGTAAAATAGGTGTAGTAAGGCTTTCTAGACTTATAACTTACAATTTTATTTGTAAATTACTATGTATTACCAAAATTTTACATATTTTCAAAGACCTTATTAAGAAAAAATTTTGAAAGATTAAAAGTGACCCTACAAAAAATGTAAAAGAATACAAAAATATTTTTTCTTAGCTGAGCGGTGGTGGTGAGCTCACGCCTTTAATCCCAGCATTTGGGAGGCAGAGACAGGGGGGTCTATATGAGTTCAAGGCCATTCTAGTCTACAAAAGCTAGTTCCAAGACAGGCTCCAAAGCTACAGAGAAAAATCCTGTCTCCAAAAACCAAAAAAAAAAAAAAAAAAAAAAAAGTTTGCTGAATATTTCGACTCCTTAATTGGAAACTGGTACTTGGCAGAGTTGTTAGGAATTAAATGAGGATGCATTTAAGAGAAGAAAAAAAATAGCAAAAAATAGAAAGTACAAAAGCCCAAGAACAGAAATGCAATCCCAGCACCAAAAAGAGGAGACAGGAGAATCAGAAGTCAAGAGTCATCTCCAGTTTTGTAGTGGATTTGAGGCCACCTTGAACTACCCGAAACACCCTGTCTCCAAAGGAAATAAATGTGAAGAAACTGTTAAGAGATCATATCATATTGGGGCTGGAAAGATGGCTCAGCAATTAAGAGCACTTGTTCCTCTTGCGGAGAACCCAGGTTCAGATCCCGCATGTACATGGTAGCTCACAAATCTGTAATTCCAGTCCCAGGGGAACCAGCACCACCTTCTGATCTCTGTGGGCACCAGGCATGCACACAGTGCACATATACATGCACATGCAGGCAAATACTCATAAACATAAAATACAATAAAAAAATTTTAAACAGGAAAGTTACTAATTTTGTACACTTGTATTTATGTTTAGCTTCCTCACAGCCCCGTTTGTACACACCATTTGTACTTTTTTTTTACGTGTAAATCACTTACAGGAGCTGCGTCTCTGTTACATGTTTATTCGGTAAGGTAATGCAAACAGTCTTTAAAAAATCTATATTTATTACGTGTACAGTGTTCTTTCTGCATGTATGCACCTGATCTTATTCCAGATGGTTGTGAGCCACCATGTGGTTGGTGGGAATTGAACTCAGGACCTCTGGAGGAGCAGCCAGCAACTAGTGCTCCTCACCTCTGAGCCATCTATCCAGCCCCCATCATTTGTACTCTTAGTATATTCTTTTTTTTGTAATATTGAGCCGACTAGAAGATTTTGAACAATAGTAATTTAATGGTAACTCTGTCATTAGGTTTCACTACTAAAATTACCTGAGCACCTCTCTTAATGCTTTCTCTGACTCTTAAGACATCCTTCTTTGCTTTTCTGTCTGTCATTCTCCCACTTGCTCCCTGGTCCTTCATCTGTCACATCTGTCATCTATCACACTTGACTGTTGCCCATTTTTGTCTCTGACTTTGTATATGAACTCTTTTGGTACAGTATGATGGCTGAAGAATTACCAGCATATCAATCTGTAAAATTCTAAAGTAGATGCTGACTTACTCTGCTTCTTTGCTTCTGCATTTATCAGGCATCAAAAAAAAAAAGTCAAGATATTTGTGTGGGTTTCATTTCAGGTGCCCTTATGCATGAGTTATCAAATGATGGTGCTCGTAGACAATTTGAATTTTATCTGGAAGAAATGATCCTCCCTCTCATGGTAGCAAGTGCCCAGAGTGGGGAACGAGAGTGCCATATAGTGGTGCTTACAGATGATGATGTGGTTGATTGGGATGAGGAGTATCCACCACAGATGGGAGAGGAGTATTCACAAAGTAAGTATTTTGGCGTGCTTCTCTTTCCTGATTCATCATATAGATTACCTCTATCTTTTAATAGTAATCAAAGGACAGGTAAAGAGTTTATCAGACTCTTCTTGTATATCAGAAACCAGCTAACTAGCTCTTGGTTAAATTTAGCCCATTGCCTGTTTTATCAATAAAGTTTTTGTATTGCCTATGGCTGCTTTGGTGCTATCATGGCAGAATTGTATAGCTGCAACAAAGATTGCATGGCTCACAAAGCCCAAGTATTCACTGTTTGGGCCTGTGGAGAAAAAGTGTGCCCACCCCTGCCTGTCATGCACAGAAACTGATTCGCATTTTGTTGACTGGAGGTAACTTTAGTTTCCAAGATTTCTTTTTAAAATCATTTGTGTTCCTGATAGTAGCCCTTGCAAAAGCTTTCTTGAACAAACCCTAGGTCTCCAGTTGTTGCTGATCAGACTAGCCCATCTTGAACAGCATTGGGTTCTTTTTTTACTTCCAGACTTTGTGGTTAGAATTTTTTTGTTTGCTTTTGTTAGAGAAAATCTTTTATGTTGTATTTATGAACCCAATATCAGCATTTTTTTTTTTTTTTGATTTTTCAAGACAGGGTTTCTCTGTAGCTTTTGGTTCCTGTCCTGGAACTAGCTCTTGTAGACCAGGCTGGTCTCGAACTCACAGAGATCCGCCTGCCTCTGCCTCCAGAGTGCTGGGATTAAAGGCGTGCGCCACCACCGCCCGGCCAATATCAGCATTTTTAAACAGTGTCGTGGGTGAGCTAACAGCTTGTTTTATGTCCTAGCCTGTTAACCTTGGAAGGTTAGACTGCACTGAGTTTAAGTAAAAGCTGTAGGAATATAGAAAGTATGAAAACTCTAATTTCTCATTTTTCCATTTTATGAGCCTTTTTATTTTTGAAAACTAAGCAGACTCTAAACGATAACTTTTCCTCAGACAGCTGCTGTAGCACTTTGCAGACAGATTTTCTCTTACATGATGGACTTATGAATGTTGTGGTTCTCTTTAGAGTACTTTTAACTCCTTACGAGTCTCATACAGTGTATTTTGATCATATCCACACCTAGTGTTAACAGTGAGTCTTTTGTAAAGATAAAGTAGATGTCTTTGTTGCTGTTTCCTCAGTCCTTGACTTTTCTGACAATGTCTTTTCTCAGTTACGTAGAATAAAAAGTTGAACAAAGCAGGGAAAATAAAAATGTTCCAAAACTCAGAATGAGCATGATAAATTATTTTCTGTTGTTAAAACAGAGTTTATCATTTTAGCTTTCAGTAGGTTCAATTCTAAGTGTAAAGACAATTAAAGGACAGAAGTGACATTGTAGTGGCTTTGTGGAATTAGAGCCAGACCAGCTTTTCCTGTTTCACTGTTGATATTTCTTATTCATTTATTCGTTTGCTTGTTTGGTTTGGTTTTTTAAGACAGGGTTTCTCTGTGTAACAGGCCTGCTAGTTCTGGAACTCATTTGTAGACCAGCCTGGCCTCTAACTCAGAGATCCACCTGCCTCTGCCTCCTGAGTTCTGGGATTAAAGGTGTGCGCCACCACCGCCCAGCTCATTTTTATTTTATTTTATTTTTTGTTCTTGTTTTTGTTTTCTTTTTTTTTTTTATCTTGAGCATCATAGCTTAAAGAGAACAAAACTTTCTTTTACTTAGCTTGTCTAAATATGAATCATTTTGTCTCAAGCTGTTAAATCCTAAAAAAGATGCATTTGAGGAGCATACAGTTAGCTTTTTCAGCCAGATAGATTTTCTAAGTGTGACTCTATCCTTTTTGAATGGTCAAAAAAGAAAAGAAAAATCTTAAAATACCAGTAGTCTCAAAGCTTTAGTACAACCAGTACAGATGAATGCCATGGGTAAAATTTGTATACATATTTTCCTTTATTGGCTCTTAAACCAGCATGTTTGGTTTGTGAGTGTGTTTTTCTTTTTTTGACAAAACCTGCAGTTCACCTTTTAAGGGCGATAACTCCACCTGAGAGAGAGGAGGCGAGGAAGGCCCATCAGTCTAACTCCCTGAAGTTCCCAGCACATTTGGAAGACTCAACATGTTGTCAGTGGACTGTCTGCCCTTTGCAAAGCCAGTTTGCTCTAAACAGACTAACCTAGGCAGAACATGCTCGAATCTGCCATTTAACCTCAGTATTAAATGGGGCTCTTTGCCTGGATGGAAAACAGTTTGTGGGGAGGGGCTTTGCCTTTGGGGAAGTTATTAATAGTTGTTCAATTCGTGAAATGTAAGATGTGTAGTAGTACTCTTTGACAAGGCAGTTTCCCCACATCCAGACTAGGCCATGTAGGTATCTTAGTAAAGATTTTTACTTTGCCTGCTTGATAATAGTGTGTGATCAGTATCTTTTGGTTGTCTTACTGAAAATTGGGACAGATCCCATTCCAATAAGTGGATGTGTGTCTTGGAGAAAGAGATCCTTCCTATGGATTGGTTTACCTGATTGGTTATCAAAGCTTTTCTTGTTTCCACTTAAGTAGACATCTGCTTCTACATTAACTGTACTGAATATTGTCCTGTCATGTCGGCTAGTCTTCCTTTGGCATTAGTGCATCCATTATTTGGGCTTTTAGGGATGTCAGGTCCCTTTGATGATCCAGGTAAATTGAAGTTAATTTCTTAAGACTTTGATGCTAATGTGAAATATTTTTGTCTTTTTTATTCCAGTTATTTATAGCACAAAATTATATAGATTTTTCAAGTACATTGAAAACAGAGATGTGGCCAAATCAGTTTTGAAGGAGAGGGGTCTTAAGAAGATTAGATTGGGAATAGAAGGTAAGATGTTACCAGTGTTTTCAATTCATTTTCTTTTTTTAAAATTGCTTTCCAAAATCTATGAAGTTTCAGTAATTTGGGAGGAACGCTCTCACCAACGGCTACTGAATGATGATGGGGTAAACATGTCAATGACAGAGACAGGCTTTCTTCTGAGAGGATGTATGTATTTCATAAGATTTCCCAGTGATACAAAAGTGATTTTTTTTTCTTCCATGACATGCTCTGATTCATTATTAGCAAAGCCCACATAAATAATTGGCTCATTGTGTGTACATTCTCATAAAGTTTACAGGCTGTGTGCTGGTGATCTCTGAGGCCTAGCATGTTCTAAAAGTACCTTTTGAGAATGCATGTAGAAGCAGTGCTCAGCTCACTGTATCCTGCGATTCAAGGTACATACAGTTGCACAACATATTTCATTGCTTAAATGCATGCATCTTCAGACAGCCTTTTTGATTTAAATGATTCCCCCATATGCCTTGACAGATGTATCTTTCATTTTAAAATACCCTTCTTATGCCAAATATCCTGCTGGTTATAGTGGCATACACCTTGAATCCCAGCAACGAGAAGAAGAAGCAACCAGATCTCTGTGAGACCAGCATGGTCTACATAGTGAGTTTCAGGACAGTCACATCTACATATGATACCCTGTCTAAAAACAAAACAAAAAACATCCAGATATCCTTCTTGAATAATTTTAGTGGGTTATGTAAGGAGTAAAGACTCTGGAGCCAGATTACTTATGAAGTAGTTTTTGTGTATTGGCTACAGCACTTAAACCAGCTTTTTTTTTTTTTTAATCTGGAATGGGGAGCATTAATAAGTACTTTAAATGGCTATTGTAAGGATGAGCTAACACAAGAAAAGCACTGAAAACAGCACCAATATAGTAAGCGCTCAGTCTGATTTGTGGTGATAATGGTGTTTTAGCAACTCTTATTAAGAAAAATGCGTCATCGAGGGTGGCTTACTTACAGTTTCAGAGGTTCAATCCATTATCATCATGGTGGGGAGCATGGCAGCCTGCAGGCAGAAGTAGACCTGGAGTTGAGAGTCCTCCATCTTGCAGGCAACTGGAAGGCAACTGGGACACTGGGCTGTATCCTGAGCATAGGATCATGGGGACCAGTTACATTCAACTGCCACAGATGGTGAAGATAACTGTGTTAGCTAAGGACCTGGTTGAGGTGCTGAAGGATCACAGGAATAGGTTGCTCAAGTCTGTGAAAAGAATGTCCAAAACAGGACTTGTGTGAAGGACAGTAGAACTGAGATACATGACTTTCCACCAGTGCTTAAAGTTATAAAAACTAGTGGGTAATTCCTGATTGAATGAGTAATCTCATTAGCGAATGAAAAAATGTCATTCTGTAATTGATTCTTAATATCTAATGTTTTATGAGATAGAGTTTCTCCCTATCTAGTCCACTTGATTACACAACACCACTTCTGCATAACTGGTTAAGAAAGTTAAAGTTTCCCTGAGAAGACGTAACAAAGCAGGGGCCTGAACTAGGACTTTGTGAAGTCAGAAAACCAGGAACTTCTGAATAGCTGTGTTAAGTAGGGTTTTTTTTCTTAAAGAGCCAGTATTTAACAATATTTGTCCAGACACATTACAAGCTTACATAAATCAATCTTGACTTTGGCTAGACAGTAATTAGGCTCATCTACATTTATTTCAATAACAGCTTCTAGATTTTGAAGCATATTTTTCTTACAAATGGTTTGTAAACCCTCAACTTTCCCATCAAGTCTGTAAGATTTTCTTCTTGGAAAAGTAAGAAAGAAGCTGGGCATGGTAGCACACACCTGCAATCCCAGCACATCGGAGAATCAGGAGTTCAAGGCTTCCTTGCCTATTAGCAAGTTTGAGGCCAACTTGAGTTACATGATACCCTGTCTAAACTTTCCCAAACAAAGAAAAGAGACTGGAGAGATGGATCAGTGGTTAAGAGACTGCTCTTACCAACGTCCTGAGTTCAATTCCTAACAACTACATGTTGGCTCACAACCATCTGTAGTGGGATCTGATGCCCTCTTCTCGCATAAAGGCATACACACAGATAGAGTACTAATATACATTAAATAAATAAATAAACCCTTTAATGCTGGGTAGTGGTGGCACAAGCCTTAATTAAATCCCAGCACTTAGGAGGCAGAGGCAGGCAGTTCTCTGAGTTACAAAGTGAGTTCAGAACAACCAGGGCTACAAAGAGAAACCCTGTCTCGGAAAAAAAAAAAAAAAAACCAAACCAAAAAAATACCCTCAGTCCTAGATAGGAGTCTTAACCATTGTGTTATCCCATCCCGTACACCTTACTCCAGTGTTCCTAATTTCAAGGCTTTCAAAAGAAATCTGATTTTAGAGTTAATGTGTTAATTTCTTTGGGAGCTAGATTGAGTTGGTGTCTTAAGAGACATGGAAGAATCAAGGAGAATTGATTATATGAGAAGGGATGACGGGGATAAGGGCAGAAGACTGTTAGTTCCATGATCCCAGAGTCACATTCCTGTGTAGATATTGTTAGGCGTGTCTCTTGGATGCTACTTAATGATAAACAGATTTGGGGGTTGGTAGGTGATGAGGTTAAATAAAAAGAAGTATATGTACTGGGCATAGTGGCATTCTGACCCCGTCGCTTATGAAACTGAGCGTAAACAAAACCAAAACCAGCAACAGCAAGAACCCCAAAACTGTCTGGTATAAAAATGGAAAAATGGGAGAATATAATTTGTATTAATTAATCTGGAACACACCACCATTGCATCAAAACATGCATCTTTGGGAGTTGCTTCCTATATCCTTAATAGTGTATCTGTCAACCTCAAGGGATGCTTTCTAAAGTCAGTGTAGGATCACAGGAGTTTGCCACTCCATCTAACAGTTACATCATCCATGGCCTTCCTCCATCTTTAGGTGCTGTGTCTGAATTTGGTAGAAAACTCTTATCTGTCATAGTACTTAACTAAGCTTTTAACAAAGCCTACAGTTTAAAAGGAAACCTTTTAAAGAAGTAGTATTGAAATAGTTTCCGTAGATTACAGGAAGCTTAAGACTAAGAAACTATTTAATTACACAAGCTTGTAAATTAATCTGCCCTTTGTATCCTGAGCAGGAATGGCAGGACAGTAAGGATTGCAGTTGTCACAGAGTGAAGAATTTGGTTTTGGTATAATTTTATCATACTAAGCTTAATAAAATAGCCTTGGCTTCTTTTTGTTGAATAGAGAATATTATTTAGGATTGAGAATGTAGTTTAGCAGTAGGGTCTTTCCTAGCATGTGCACCACAAAGCCCTGGCTTTAATCCTCAATACTGCATCATCATCGTGTATTTAAAGTTACCCACTATGGAGTCAAATCAGTTTTCTAGTATCTTCTATTCCAAATCTCAGAATCTGCTAATATATATTGTATGCTTTGCCTGTATTTCCCTCAACTTTTTGGTTATTATTAAGATCAAGCACAAGGAGCCAGGCAATTGTGGTGCATGCCTTTAATCCCAGTACTTGGGAGGCAGAGGCAGGCAGATCTCTGTGAGTTCCAGGCCAGACTGGTTTACAAGAGCTAGTTCCTGGAGAGCCAAGGTTGTTACACAGAGAAACCCTTTCTCAAAAAACAAAATAAACAAAGAACAAGGAAAGTCACTGGAATGTCATTGTGTACATTGTTATGGTTTAAGTAAAATGCTGCAGGTCCCCAAGTAGCAGCAGCAGCCCCAGGCAGGGAGCCCCCAAGTGGCCTGCGGGCCAGGAAGGCCAGCACATCCTAGGAGCCGCATGGTGGGTGAAAGACCTGGGTGGGACAGCCAGTCACACTAGGAGCCACAGCCCCAGCAGGTAAGAGTCAGGCAGGGAACCACGTGGTGGGTGAGAGACCAAGTTGGATAGGCACGCCATGCAGAGAGAGTATTTATTTAGTGGGTTATGGAGGGGAAAGGAAAAAGGGGAGAAGGAGATATGGGGGAAGAGCAAAGAGAGAGAGAAGGGGGACAGAGAGGAGAGGAGCCACAGCAGCAGCTACCTACCTCTTTGGGAGAGAGCTCAGGCTAGAAGCAAAAGGAAGATCTGCCTGCTCTGTGGTGGGCGGGGCTTGTCTCTTAAAGGGACAGGTCAGACCATTACATAACATTGCTTCTTGAGGTGTGTGTGTGGGGGTTGTTTTGTTTTTAGCTTTATGAACAGATGTCATCACCCTCAATAGAGCACAGAGACCTTCAAGACAGCTGGTACCTTGAGTTCTTTCATGTAGTAGTTGTTAAATATTACTTGTTGAGTGAAGAGGTCAGAGACAGTTTTTATTTTTAAAGGGAAGAATATTCTCAGTAAGAGATCTGAAGGCTAGCTAAAGAGATGGCTCAGCAGTTAAGAGCACTGGACAAGTTCCATTCTCCATATCCATATCTGGCAGCTTCAACTACTTGTAACTCCAGCACATACTGGCTTTGTGGGAGCCTAGGCTGTTTGAATGTTCACCTTACTAGACCTGGAAGGAGGTGGGAGGTCCTTGGACTTCTCACAGGGCAGGGAACCTGGTCTGATGAGAGAGGGGGGAGTTGATGGGAGAGGGGGAGGGATATGGGAGGCGGTGGCGGGGAAGAGACAGAAATCTTTAATAAATAAATAAATTTAAAAAAAAACCCAACTAGCTGATTATGACCTTGAGAGTGGTCCTGAGAGGCAGGGGGTTGCCCCCTTGTCTTCTAAACTGGTATTTTCGGGATTTTCTGTGACACACTCCCTGCCAATTCCGGATCACTGGGCTGTGGCTTCTTCCCTTAAAAATCGCTTCTCCCAGTCACTCGGGGTCGAACTTTCTCCCTGCGTGGGTTATGAGTCTCGGCCCCAGTGCACTGATTCCTGTCTCATCTCATCATTAAAGCCTCGTGTGATTGCAGCAAGGACGGTCTCTCGTGAGTTACTGGGGGGTCGTGTTCCCGAGACTTGAGTGAGAGTCTCCCCAGCACTGGGGGTCTTTCATTTGTGTCTTTGGAGAAATTACATTACTGATAGACAATTGAAAGTTTTCTGAAACTTTGGGTTGTTTTTACTAGTTGTTATTTTTAGTGACTAGAATTCAGAAAGAAAAGTTATAATTAATGAAAGCTCTTTGCAGATACAGGTTTAATTCACTGTTGGTATCAGAGATTAAAATATTGCCCTTGTTGAGCTAGCTGCAGAATTTATTAAGAACCTGCTAGAGAGCTGAGTATTTTTTGTTATTTAACAAAAAAAAAAAAATCTAAAGCAATATTAAGATGAGACTGAAGATTAAGGAAACTAGAGGGCTGAAGAACTACAGGCCTTTAAGGCCGGTCACCCTGTGGGCAGAGTAAGCGTTGCCTGTGCACAAGGAGAGACCGCATCTCCTGCAGATGTCATGCCTGGTACAGAGAACCAGCCCTCCATAGCCCCACCTGAAGAATGCTTTATGGTGGTTGAGTTTGAGTAACTGAAAAAGATGGCCGAAGGTTTAGGGTTTTGGTATCCATGTTAAGCTGATGACTGGGCAGGTGAATATTGGTTTCCTTTCTTGTTTTTTTTTTTTTTAATATTTATTTATTTATTTATTTATTTATTTATTTATTTATTTATTATGTATACAATATTCTGTCTGTGTGTATGCCAGCAGGCCAGAAGAGGGCACCAGACCCCATTACAGATGGTTGTGAGCCACCATGTGGTTGCTGGGAATTGAACTCAGGACCTTTGGAAGAGCAGGCTATGCTCTTAACCTCTGAGCCATCTCTCCAGCCCCTCCTTTCTTGGTTTTTACTTCCATTAAAATGTTAAAATGGGACCTGAACAAAAAAAGCTCTCAACAGGTAACAGGTGACAAGTTTTGCACATGTATGCTCTTTTTCAAAAAGTTCCCTTCTTTCCTCTAGGCTATCCTACCTACAAAGAAAAAGTAAAGAAAAGGCCCGGAGGTCGCCCTGAAGTCATTTACAACTATGTCCAAAGACCCTTTATTCGAATGTCCTGGGAGAAGGAGGAAGGAAAGAGTCGGCATGTAGACTTTCAGTGTGTGAAGAGTAAATCTATCACCAACCTGGCAGCAGCTGCCGCAGACATTCCCCAGGACCAGCTGGTAGTCATGCACCCTACTCCACAGGTGGACGAGCTGGATATCCTCCCCAGCCACCCTGCCTCGGGCAATAATGACCTCGATCCTGATGCACAGAATCCAATGCTGTGATGCTGATGTTCCTGAAACCATAGCCTGCTACTCTTCACAGTGACGTCGTACTCCTCATTCTGCACTGCGAGGCCACTTTTCTTCATTGTGAGATGCACATGTTTAGGATACTGCAGTGTAGGCTTTTTTAAAGACCAAAGGTAGCTGAATGGTTTTTTAATGAGTACAACTTTAGCATCCTGGTTCCAGTTCTATAAATGTATTTGTTTACCAGTAGGTTTGTGGAATTGGTTCTTTGTACGGGGACAGTCCTTTTTCACACATCTCGGTCTCAGAAGTCGTGGGAATTGGCAGCTGGGGTACTTTCAGTGTAGATTGGTACTCATCATGCCCCAGATAAAATGCAGAATATTAAGAGTTGCACTTTATAGAGGGTGGTTAAATGAAGCTGTTGAAGCCATGTTAGAGTGGTGGTGCACAGTATAACACAAGCGCTTCTATCAGAGTATTCCTCAGTACAGTATGGGTAGTTGGCCCACAAGAAGCAAAAACATATTTATCTTGAGTTTGTTTGAGTGATGAGGAGAGATTTGATGCTCCTAATGTTGGTTCACTCATCTCCAGAGCCCTGAACCCCTTTACAGTGAGTCATATGCAGGAAGGGTGAACGTCAGGAGATGGTTTACTGTCCAGTCTGCCTTACCCTTAATCAGTTCAGATATTTATTTACTAATGCTTTTTTTTTTAAGAGTTAAGGGATAGGAAAATGAACTGTTTGCTCTTCATTTACTAAATGATTGTAAACTCGAGTTTTTCATCAAAATAAAATTCCATTGTTTTAATGTTTCTGACCACTTTATAAATATGTTGACTAGATTCTGTGTCATGTATGCGTAAGTATAACTAGAAATCAAACGGTAGCCCAAAGAGCTCTTTGGCATATTTATAAGAGGCACTTAAGTTTCCCATAAATTCTGAAAAGTCACTCTAAATCCAAAGCAGTTGATCAGGATTTTCAGGATCTGAAAGTAGAGTGACTCTGAGCCCTAAGTTTCAGTGTTAGTTTCTGATTCATCAGTCTGACTGCTCTGTTCAGCAAATTGTTTAAATAGTTGATGGTCTACAACAAAGAAAGTGTTTTTAGTGCTTTAGGTCTTGAGATCACTTAACTATTAATAGTCATGTGTTGTACAGGACTGTCCTCTAAGCCACTTGAAGTATTCAGCTGTACCTGCTTGCCAGGAGTTGTCTGTTTGCATCCCCCACCCCCAGGGAGGTATGGAGAGAATCACGAGACCCTCACCTGGGTAGCCAGCTCTTCTACCTCCTGTTCTTTAACTGCAGGTGGCCTCAGGGAGGGGCTAAGAGTATATATGGGTAAAGGCTTTCTCAAGTGGCTTTTGGGGACAGGAGCATCCCTCTAGGGAACCTCTCACTTATGCTCTGTAAGGAAGCCCATTAAACCATTGGTTCCCAGAGTGAACTTTGGATTGGTGGCATCATGCCTCGGCCTGTCAATGGGACACAAAAGGGAGGGTTGATGTTGCTTATGTCTCTACGTGGGAAGGAGTTCTAGCAGCACCATAAAACTACAGGTCTTAGAGAAGCCAGTTTATGATCTTGAATTCAAAGGATTTAAATTTAGAGTTAACCATCTCTGTTTTCATATAAATTGAGATGGCTACATTTGGGATTGAACTATTTTTGTAATATGTCTGAGCTAGTAGCCCAGGAGAAATTATTAGTATGAGATCAAAAAGGCACTGCAAACGTAACAGCAGGGATATGTTTAAACCACTGTTGAAATGAATAAACCAGCCCTGCAGATGTGAAGATTTTCTTCCTAATTATTCAAAATGGGAGTAGTACTTATAGAACAAGGGAAACATTTATTAAAAATATTTAACTGTCTAATACATTATACTTTAACTGATATTTATAGTAAAGGATTCTTACAAGGAAGAATAAACAGCTTTATGATACAATTAGTATAAGAAATATCCACATGGGGGACTTCTTTGTAGTGTAAAAACACCATACATCTGAAATGACCATTTTGCATATAAAAGCTACCAATGATGCTTCTGTGCACAATGATTAAAAAATTCAACACAAACAAAATTCAAAATATACAATTAATGCAAGCTATCCACAGCTAGCCCAAACTCAATGATGAGAAAACACTGGAGCAGGCTTAGTTCCACTTTGTCTGAAGTTACACACGGTAGATTGACTTGTCTCAATGGCTCTGAGATGGCTTTTATGGAGTCAGTACATAAAAGCTGTTCTCTCCTTATCCAGTAAGCTTCACAGACTGTAAAACTTCACCAGTAATGCACTTTGATACTGTAGCTGTTGCCAGAGCAGAATGTAGTGTCTACAGTGGCCATGGCAAGTCGCTAAAGTCAACGGGACCACCCAGGCCTGCATCTGCTTCCAAGAGGCTCATGATGACAGCCATTGCTGCCTCGTCGTTACTGGGACTACTTGATCCTTGGTCGTTGTCTATCATATCGATGCCTATGTGGGGGTTCTCACCTGTGGAAGGAAGAAAGGCTGGTCAGTAAAAAGTACCAAAACCACACTTATATTTGGAAAGCAACTTCTCAACACACTAATAGAATTATTTAACAAGAGTGAAGGGTTATATGGGGACTCTATTGCCATAACTTATTGTTACTGCTTTTCAAAAAGAACACCTAAAAATTAGGGGGAAATCCTTTAAATTCAATAAGTGTTAAAAATACTTGAGTCGAACCCATTTTAGTATTTTGGTAACCATTAGTCAGTGATCGGTTGTAAAAATAACTATGAAAGAAGATAGTAAGAAAACAGAATGAGAAAAAGCTGGATAGACTGAGAGAAACTGTCATCGTCCAATGATTAATACCCTCTGAAGCTACACGGGGTCTCCCTCTGAAAATTCTGTGGGAGAAAACCCGTGTCTGGGTTGCTGTAGAGGCACTTAGATCACTGAAGTAGTTAAACATTTCAGACAGCCACGCTGTTCTAATTATCAACTGTTTCAGAACTAGCTTGTTTTATGTAATCGGTTCTTAAAACTATCTTTGTGTTAAGTGTTTTGCAATCTCACTATCACTCATGGATAATAATACCACTTACCAAGAATGGAAGAACTATCAGAATATGGATAACCTGGGGTCTCCTGAGCCTGCCCTGGTAGTAGCCCAGTGGAAGGAATGTCTGGAGTCCCTCCATTTAGAATCTGCAAATAAAAAGGGGAAATGTAAAGTTTCTCATCAAATAGAAATTTCAATTTCTACCTTATGCAGTGCTACTAAGAAAATGAAGGATGTTGGCGGGGGGGGGGGGGCTTAAAATGGATTCAATTTCCCAGCTGTTTTCCCTTATCAAACAAGGACCTGTTAGAAAAAGTCATGATAACAGGGAGCATTTTCTCTACATAGGATTCAGTACATGCAGATAGTATTTACTTAAAGCAAAGGCTTAGGCTTCAGTAAGCCGGGGTTGCCCTCTAAGGGAGTGAGTGGCACGTGGCAACAAATATTGCTAAAGACATGATTGAGGCCAGCAACAGTGTGTGAAGAGAAACAACTTCAGAGTCACGTATGAACATCTTTGATCATCAGGTAGGCCACAGACACTGAGTAACCTCTGGTTTTGTTCTTAAGATTCGATAATAACTGCTATCACACCTCCATAATAGAAGTCTACTGTCTTAAAATCTCTCTACCCTCCAAGCTCCCTGCCCTTGGCGAAGCCTCAGAAAGACCCCTGAAGAGCGAGTCAGGAAGCTGTGGCCACTGGGTTTCAGAAACGGATTCCAGACCTTGTCCAGCAGATGGCACTGCAACATGTTTCTCCCCAGTTCAGCTTTGCAGTATGGGATCCCTGCACATTCTTAAAAGTGACTGTCCCCAAAAACTGTTTTAGGTAGGCTATATTTATATAAAATGAATTTTGAAATATAAGCCCTTTATAAATGTATTAACATGAATAAAAACAGTTTGATGAAAAATTGCAAGTTATCATTTTAGTGAAAAACCCCACACATTACAAAAATAATGTTTTAAAGTGTCTTACTGTTTTATATCTTTGTGATAAGAGAGTTCAGCTAGATTCTCACACCTCCATTCAGCCTGTTTGATCAAATGTTTTGATATATATGAAGAAAATTTGAACCTCAAACAGATGAGTAGTTGTATGAGGGCAAAATAGTCTTTTCAGTAAATTGGGTATTCTTTGATGCCTCGGCACTTAAGTGGATGTCTCTTAAATATTCATTACAGTGTGGAACCAACTGAGCTGTGTGCCCTGTTATGCTGAAAAATCCATGGCTATATCTTGGCACTCGGAAAGGATAACCCTTAGATGACAGCCTGCACTGACCACTTAGAGCGTATTAGTTCACTTAGAATGGATTAGTCTTGGGTGATTTTGAAATACCCTGCATTGATCACTTTGAGCAGTGGTTATCAACCTGTGGGTCATGACCCCTTGGGGTTGAACAACCCTTTCACAAAGGTCACCTAAGACCATCGGAAAACAAAGATATTTACATTATGACTCATAACGGTAAAATTACAGCTATGAAGAAACAACAAAAATGAGTTTATAGTTGGGGATCACCACAATATGAGCAACTATTAAAGGGGTACAGCATTAGGAAGGATGAAAGCTACAGAGTTAGAGGGTAGGATACTGGTTTGGTGTGTTAGCAGATCTTTTAAATTAACATGAAGAAAATCACCATTTTGCCATCGTGTAAGCTGGAGGAAGCTATCGAGCTCAAAGCAGCAGGCAGGCCCAAGCTCTCTAAACATCCCAGTCTTGACTGAAAGCCTAGATTTTATCACTGCCATTTGTTTTCCTTAAGTGACAAATGTATGGGAGGGAGCAATAGTTTAGCCTGTGATGGAATCACAGATGCTTCTTAAGGCAGGGAGGTATGCAGTAGGGCGCCGATAAGTTTTTTCATTTTAATATTTTTAAATTTTTATGAGTGTTTTTGCTTGCATATAAATATGGTAAGTGCATCACATGTGTGCAGGGTCCTTCAAGGCCAGAGAGGGTGTCAGAGCCTTGACAGGAGTCACAGGCTGCTGTGGCTGCCATATGAGGGCTGGAAATCAAACCTAGGTCCTCTGCAAGAACAGTCAGTGCTCCTAACAGCTGAGCCATCTCTCCAGCCCTAAAAAGGATCTTGAGAGTCTCCCAAAAGGTGTCTGTGGACTTCTGCTTAACTTGATTTGAAGCCTCTGTATGTCCTTACTCGCCCAGGATCTATAAGGCTTATCCAATTTCCCCCTTTCAGCTTGATCTGAATGAAACAACTTTGGGCTCAATGACAAAATTGAAATTGACTGAAGGGTCACCTTTGCTCTAATTTGCTGAGTCCTTTAATCCTGCAATTATTTTTAACTCAATCATGCTTTTCTCATGAGTCCTGTTGCCTAGGACAGACAAAAAAGAAGGACTCAATTTTTGTTCTAGACCCATTTTTAAAAGCCATTGAAAGAGGAATTTCTTTTCATAAACACCCCCAGAATTTCAGGCTTTATGATGTAGGCATAGCTTTAAATTACTGGCAGGTGCTGTTCACCGGGAAGCCTGGATTGTTAATTTTGGAGATCTTGGACTTTTCTGTGTGTGAAGTTGAGAGGTGGAGATACAGATTAGATAGATAGATGATAGATAATAGATAGATAGATGAAAGTTGTCCAGTGATAAGCATATAACGGGATGAAAACCTCTGAAATACCAAGAAGCCGACTGCCCGAAGGATGAATTAAGTCAGGGGGTACCCTAGAGAGATAGGGAATAGAGCTGAGAACACAGAAGGCGAGCAGTAGGGTTCCTACACATTCCCAAAGTCCAGGCACTTGCACATTCATTGTCATGCGTACTCCAGGGACAGAGACCACTGCTAACCTACCAGTCTCGGCACCATTAGAAGGGAAACAGGAGCTTGGAAGGTACAGCCACTGCATGACTCACACGGGCAAAGGCAGGCTTCAAACTCGGGCCCACCTTGCTGTGGCTGTGCTCTTACCCACAATGGGCTGGCTTTTCAGTTTCCTGGAGGAATCAAAGCCTTTTCAAGTGTAAACTTGCCGAAGACTCACACCAAGTAGAATAAAGTTGCTCCTCTCCTCTCACCTTCAGCCCCCACACTCACCCATCCTGGCAGCACCAGATTTGGGCAACCTGGGCCTGTAACCTGGGCCTCCCAGTTTCAGAAAGCCCCGCTTTGCTTTTGGTATTTGTCCCTTGGGAACCACCCCTCAGTCTTTCCTGGAGTCTCTGTGTATGTCTAGGGATACTGAGTCCCTTGTGTTCTAATCTCAGGTGTTATTAATGGACTCTTAACCTCCAATCAGTATAATTGACATAGGTTTGCAAATTGTCTAGTAATGATGAAAACGGGTGTTTATAGTGCCATCTTCATGAAGTACTTGTGGCCGGTGATGTCCTATCAGGGACACATTTTGGTGACAGATCCCCACGTGTTCAGCTATAAAGCCTAGCTTGATGAAGTATGGCTCATGCTGTTGCTTTTACTAATGGTTTCTGTTCACTTGAAATTCCTGGCAGTAAGGTTCTATGCAGTCCGTCCTAATCTCTCCCTCATGGAAATTCTTGAATTGTGCCCTCAAAGGGATTGACAGTTCCCCTTTCCTCACAATGTTGTTCTTGCATTCACATGGAATGCATCCTCTTGAGCAAGCCAGGAAGCCTCCCTACGTGC